TCTGGGAGTTGAAGTCCACTCATCTTAAAGTGGCCAAGTTTGGACAACACTGCTTTAGATCGTTCACAACGTTATTCTTCTTAATATTATTGTCACTACTGCTACTACGATTAGATTTCCGCATACACACCGATTGCCCTCTGGAACACAGTACCCTCGGTACAACAATAATTGAAAAGAAAAGAGATTTTTATAGACGTGGCAGCAAAATCAAAGAGAAAGAACCAGAAGAAAGGATAAAGTACAGATATCTAACTCTCAAAATGGGTAGATCATACGAACGATCTTCGAAGTCCTCCCTATAGTTTTGGGTGCATTCGGGGGACGAAGAAAGGCTAAACACATTTTTACAAAAATGAAATATTTCAGCTATATTAACTGCAGATTTGCAAGAATAAAATCTCCTCTTCGTTGGGCCCTTATTATACCTTACAATATTACTCAGGAAAATTCCTAGGTTCCTGGCTGGAACTCAAATTTCCAAAGAACCTGCAGTCAAAGAGATGATCCTTTTTATTCGTTCTTTGTATTGTGTTATTCCTCGAGGAATAAAAGCAGCAACAATAATAATACATTCAATCTTAGCCAGATCTTCAAATCTTGCGCTCAAGTCTGAAGGGCACTGAACTCATTTGACCTGAATTGCGATCTCCTGACCTAATCTATGTTGTAGACCTGACGTAGATTGGAATAATATTGAATGCAATATCCCATCTGTGATGATGCAAAATTGGGTGGAATAGGAGAAGTCCTACCACCATCTCCCAGTGTGCTATGAAAGAGTATACTATGGGTCCATCCGCAGTATCAAGTCTCCCCAGTGGCCACGCCATCCATAACCACATCTGGCAGGCATGCTTCTTCTAAATGTGTGGAGGGCAAGCTGGAAGGGGCTCAGCTTGACTTTTGAGGTCAATGGTGGAGTCAGAACCTGTCCAGCTCTACGCTTGGACCCTGATGAATGGCATAATCCATTTCAATCTATCTCAAGGATGTAAGTGATAGAGGGGTTGGCTGTCAATGTGGTCTTTTTAGCCCCTGCACGTTCTTGGGACGCTTGGAAAAGATAATGGGACCTCCTCCCTCCACTTGGAGTAAAGGTTTCGTACAAACAAGCACTTATCTTAGATATAAGGTTGCCCTATATTGCCATCTCAGTTATCCTCCATTACACTGGAAGTTTAATGTTTGGAATGATTCCTTGAAGGAGGAAGTGTTCAGTCAGAAAATGGCTAACTTTCTTTACACTGGCCATCCAAGTAAAACTAACTCTGAACAATTTGGTACTATATCCAAATCGTTTGAGAAGCAATCAGCTAGAGTTTAGAAAGAAAGAACGGCTCTTCTTTGTTCTTTCAAGTGAACGTGGGTGAACTCCAAAGGGGAGGCCCAGGAGGGAGATTGCCAACCCAGCCAAAAGAAGTTGCAGAATTTCAGCCTCAGTTAAATCCTCCACTCACCTGTGAAGATGGTGACCATCAGAATGAGGAATTTCATGATGGCTTCTGGAACTTCTCAAGAACCTACCAAGATGCTAGCAGGGACTGTTTGAGTAGCAGGAGCACCAAGGGAGGGGGTTTAAATGAACACTTCCATCTCTACTTTCTGTCATTCATTAACACAGGGCAGGGATCTGATGAGTGGGGTTGGAGGTCCTTTTTTGCCATAGTTCCTAAAATAACTGGAATACAAAAGAGGATGCAGTAACAGGAAGAATCTTTGATAAGGAAAGTAAGTCTACATCACAGAAGGCAGATTTCATTGTCTCTGATTTATCTGTACCAAGTGATAACCTTGGAGATACTTAGCACCAGCTCTATGAGTCAATCATTGCACGTACCAGCACGGGCTGTGGGCATCCTTGTGCCTTAACTCTGGAATTCAACTCCACTGAACACGTCTTCCACATACCAACTAGCTTCACCACGACCATTCTTCTGAAAGCCATCTAATGCTGGCCAAGTGTCCTCACCGCTGTAAAATGGTCACCCTGTTCAACAGATAGGGATGGAGAAATTGGCGTAAGGCCTAGCAGTCCAAGGAAGGACCAGGAGAGATACCATGATGATCCAAGGAGCAGAAGGTGGGATGAGGGAAGAGTTCTTACCAAAGAGAAACTCTTCTATCTCCAATACATGGACGGATGTATTCTATGTATCTAATCCACTGTTTCTCAACCTTGGCAGCTTTAAGATGTGTGGACTTCATGGTGGCTGGGGAACTCTGGGAGTTGAAATCCACACATCTTAAAGTTGCCAAGATTGAGAAACACTGATCTAATCTATCTCTCATCTCTCTTTCTCTTTCTCTCTCTCGTTCTCCGTTTTATTTACTGTTATTTACTGTGGATGGTTTATTACTAAGAAAGTAGGGTGACACTTCCTTTGAGCTGTTTTCTCCAGAGGAGCAATAGAGCTACAAGGAGCTGCAGAAGCATTCCTAAAAACTGATGACATCATGGAGACATGGGCACAGGGTGGCAATCCCAGATCAGCATGGCAGGGGCGGGCAATGAATGAGGTCCTTGTTATTTTAGTGCCAACTATTTTCTATAGCACCCCTGGTGCTTCCTATGCCCCCCCCCCCCCCCCATTGCACAGACTGCTGAACTCATTGGTTACTCGAAGGCAGCAGGAAAAAAAAATTGAGAACGGGAGAATTTCTTCTAAAAACTGTTTAAACCAATGTTTCTCAAACTTGGCCATTTTAAGATGGGTGGACTTCAACTCCCAGACTTTCCCAGGTGGCATATTTAAGGTGTGTGGACTTCAGCTCCCAGAATTCCCCAGCCAGAAGTCCACCCTTCTTAAAATGGCCAAGGCTGAGAAACACTAGTGTAAATAGCTTTAACCTTAAACTAAGCGAAGCCATCCACCACTAGAGGGCGATGGAGACTATGTAGCTTGAGGTCATCCTTCCTCAACACACCACATTGCCCACCATTCTTTATTAGCCTACCTAATTATTACAAAAATGTTTAAGCCCTCCAACCCTTAAAGTGGTTGTGACTGCACTGAAGACCCATGGATGGACTATATGGTGCAAGAATTATTTCCATACCGCCCAGATGGACCCAGATCAGTCCAAGGAAAGAGATGTGGAAGTGCTATGACTTCTCTGCCCGGCTCCTTTGAGATGATCTCATTGCTGGGGCCCAAGAGTGACGATGGCTCCGCTACACCATTAAAACCAGATGCTAGCTGGGGAACTCTGGGAGTTGAAGTCCAAGTTGCCAAGGTTAAGAAACACAGCTCTAGGGGCCTGAATTCCATTGTTACCTATTTCTGATTCCAGAATGATGGTTGCAATCTGGACATCCCAACATCGTTTCTCCTTCTAGGAATGGGATCTCAACACATCTCCCTACCCCAACCGAGCTGGGCTTCCTCAGCTACGTAGAACGTGGCGCTGCCTCCAAATGGACTTTGTGGTTATGGCAGCCACTTCTCACTGATCATTAACTCTTTGACTAATTCTGATTAGTCCTCCTCTTCCCATCTCTTGCAAAACGCTTCACCCCATGGCACCAGCCTTACAGCCAGTGCATTTGGAGTTGTCTTGCATGGTCAACAGGGAGATCCTACGAAGAGCTTGGTCGCTTGGCATCTTAGTGCAAGCTGATTTACATTTCTCCTACTGACGGGCCAAAGGAAACTCTTACAGAATACAGTACTGCGATATTTGTGCTTTTTCAATATCTGGCAGGAGTTCTCCAGCAACAGTGCATCTGCTAAGGGAAAGGACACACACATGCCCAAAACTGCATGAGCCAAACTGATGGCAGAAATGTATGTATTAGGTACCACGGAATACCCAGAGGTGGAAACCTTCATGATCCTTTACAAAAGCTTTTGTCATGGTAAGAAATCTTGGGCTTCTTTCTAGACACCCAAAACATTTTTGCATCCATCTTTCAGTTCTGCTTTGGAAGATCCCTGATCACCCACCAACACCCGCTAGCTGAGTCTCAGAATGAGGCCATGAGACTTATTCACAACTGCAGTACAATATGATGAATTGTATTGACCACAACTGAAAATAATCTGTTTTGACCTAGTCATATCTTCTGGTTCCCCCCTCGCCCCGCCCTGTAGTCCCTGTTGGGAAGCAGAAACTGCCTAGTATGATTGCGCTGATGTTGTTAGTGGGGTTTCTTCTCTGTCTCAGTGTCACAATTCAGGAAAGATCTACCAGCTCTCAGCTCGTCCCTGATAAAAGTTAAAATCCTTTCAGGACCGCTGTGAATCACTCCTTTTATTGACTTGTTTACCAGAACTCTTATCTTCATGGGGGTTTTGCTTTCCAAACACTTTTTGTCCCTAGTATAGAAAATGTAGGTGCTGTGCCAGCAATCTGACCATCTGGGGACTCATCCAGAAGTGAGATTGCTAAGCAAAACAATGGATAATCTGCTGCCGTGTTTTTCAACCTTGGCAACTTTAAGATGGGTGGGCTTCGACTTCCAGAATTCCCCAGTCAGCATACAACCTTGGCAACTTTAAGATGGGTGGACTTTGACTCCCAGAATTCCCCAGTCAGCATACAACCTTGGCAACTTCAAGACGGGTGGACTTCAACTCCCAGAATTCCCCAGCCAGCATTCAACCTTGGCAACTTC